AATCATCCTCCTTTCTCCTTCTATCATTGGCTAGGATGTAGGTGAAGGTGCTGAGCCAGCAGGAAGTCTGTTTGATTCCTTCATCAAACCAATCTGCCTCTGACTGAGTATCCTTCKTTCCTGTTTCCCAGTCTTTYCAGAATTCTTTGATCCACTGACAAACATCCRGGTCATCCARAACACAAAGGTTAAGTCTGAATATCCGTTCTTTTTCCTCTATTGTGTTTCGGRAGAAGGATARATCTATGGTTATTGGRCTGYGATCTGAGAGAGGATCTGAGTGTACTGCTGTAGATAACACCCTGTCCCAGATTATCGGCCTCACAAACCAATAGTCCAGTCGCTTCTTTGTGGACAACCCTGATGACGACGTCCATGTGTATTCCTTGACTTCCGGGTGCAGAACCCTAAAAGCATCTATCAAGTCGTTGTCCCTCAAGAATTCTTTCAGCCTCCTGCTGTCTGACTGATTACTGTTTCCACTTAGGGAATCGAGCAGCGGATCCAGGGCGATATTCTAATCGCCACCCATGACCATATAAGTTATATCTGGGATCAGATAATCAATGACTTCCATGAATTGCGATCTTTCTCTGTGATCTGAAGGTAGGTACATGGAGAAGAAGCCCCATTCTTCATTCTCGATTGCCAACTTGATCCAAACGTCCAAAGGAGTCCCACCAAGCATCCAGTACCAAGCAATCAAAATCCTTGTGCACCAGAATGGCGGTACCTTTTCTTGACCCTTCTGCAGGGGACCACCATTGAGGGCCCGGCCACCAACCCTTGATTTTGTCTATTCTTTGTTGGTTTAGTTTAGTTTCCTGCAGTAGTGCAATCGAGATCTTCTTTTGGTGTAGCCAGGTTTTTAATCTGGCTTTCTTTCTTCTTCCATTGTTGTTCCCCAAACCTCGAACGTTCCATGAGGCCACTCTGATTTTATCAGTTACCATTACCAGCCTCTTGGTTCCCTGTTGATTGGATGGGAATTGGGTGTGAAGCATCTCTTGAGAGGTCCTGTGTTGTGTACCAGGGACCTCTCATCAGATCCTTGAAGTGCTTGGATCCCAGATTTCTGGCTGATGGGATTTTCCTGTTCAGGGTGTCTAGGTAGCCACCCCGAATCCCATCCACCACAGAGATCAGGTCAAGCTCTCCTTTGCTGGTGGCACGGAGCCATTGGGTGGGCACCCAATGCAGCCCTGCATCAGCGACCTTGGGATCAATTTCTGCTTTAATTTTCACATAGGTGATGGACGTATAGAAGTAATAGAGTTTGCCAGACTCACCTTTGAGGAGTTCGCTTCTTTCCAATCCGTAGCCTGGGACCTGTCTTACTTCGTAACGAGCAGAGAGAAAATCGCACATGGTGCGGAAGATGCTTTCCTCAGTAGGAGGGGCTGGTACTATCCAAGTGGGTAGAATCAGCGGCCCTTGCGACTGAGGAAGGAGTAGCCATTGTGTATCCATGGGTCCTTCTCTGAATATCAGAGGAGCGATTACCTGTTCAATTGGGATCGCTTGGTTAAATTGCTCAAGCGTGAATGTTGTCATTGCTCTGCCAGGCGCCGTATCTTGGCCTGTTATTCCATCCTGCAAGGATGCTTCTCCTCTGAGGGGAGATCCCTCAAAAGAGGATATAAGTTGTGAGACCGAAGCGGTGTTGGCAGGATGTCCACCTTGTTGTAGGGAGCTCCTGAAATCATCGGAGAATTGTTGTTCTGTGTGCGATGATCTCGCATATTTGGATGGTGAAACTGGAAAGTTTCCCTCCATTACCTCTGCTCCTATACCTGTTGTTCTCTCTACATTAACCGAGAGATTCTGAAATGTAGCAGATGTTGTGGACAATCCATCTACTCCTCTGTGGGGATGAGGAGTAGATGGGTCTGTGGAAGATCGCTTCCCTCTCCCTTGGTGGCCAGATGAATTTGGGGTAGCCTAGTTCATTCTTGATCTTCTTAAAGACGAGACTCTGCCTGCCTGTGGGTTATTGGAACCCTGTCCTCTGCCGGGAGAGGGTTGAGGTGGCGATGTGCCTGATCCACTTCCTTGTGCAGTTCGATCTCTCACTCGGGTCGCCCCTGTTGAGCCAGGAGTCGAACCATTCGAAATGCCAGCTCCTGTTCTTGGCATATTCAATGTTTGCGACCCTTGGCCATTGTTGGGAATGGCTTGGTGGGTAGGCTGTAACCCATGTGCTTGATGGATGCCTGTCTGGACTGTCTAATGAGGGTTGCCCCTTACAGACTAGAGACCAATCATAGCTGTCATGCCCAGATTCCCTGGGGAGGGTTGAGCTCCCGCTGGTGGAGAGGGCCCTGGCGGGAGGTGAGACCCTGGCGGGTGGAAGGATCTTGACGGGGTGTGGTGTCCTGATGGTATGTGGGCTCCCGGCTGGGGATGTGGTTCTGTGGGCTGCTGAGACCCTGCTAGGGGGTGAGACCCTATTGGGGGATGGGAACCTGCCGTCGGTTGGAATCCTGCCGGTGGGTAGGGAGCAACCGGAGTGTGGGGCGTTGCTGGAGGATGAGATCCTGCCGCTGGGACATTCGTACGACGGGGAGTAGTGCCATATCCGTATTGGGCCGGCGCTTAACATCAATTGTGGGATTGGCATTCCTTCGTATTGTGGCCATACCATTTGCACAGTCTGCACCAGGGTGTCCGTGAATCGACTAGATCGGCTGTGAGAACTTCCAAACCTATCTGAACTTGAATCACCGGTTGGAAGTTTTGTTCCGCTTCAAGTTCTAAACCAAACTTAAATTTCACGAGGTGAGGGTACTCGTCATCGTTGATCGGATCGTAGTCTTTACTGACTTTCCCTATACCTTGATCTATCGTCAATTTGATAACTGCAAATGCTCCGATCGGGACTCGTGTGGCCATAACCCAGTAGTTCCCCCCCACTCCTTTTTAGGCATCCATGACTTAATCATGACCTTAAAGGATTTACCATTCAATTTGAATTTCTCCCTATCCTTCTGGAGAAGGAGATCTCTAATCTCCAACGATCGAGCGACATACGAGATCTTGTGTCTTCCTTCCAGATGAGTCGTTCCTCGGCCTAATGCCAGCATTTCAGCAGACAGGCGATCTCTCTCATAATTGCGAATGAATTGCAATTTTTCTCCGTTGGAAAGATTCTTTCCAAGAAAGGAGAAAACCACCGTGTGGTCTTTTAACCACTGTATCTGCAGCCTTGTGAATTTGTTACTGGGAATACCAGTAATGACTCCGTTTTCAATTCTAACCCTAACGTGGCGGTTAACATCCGGAATGTTACCCTGTGAGAAACAAACTTTCAACAATTTTTTTAACCTCTCTTCTTCCTCTTCGTCTATCGGTTTGCTCCATTCCAGGTTCATATCTCCCTGTACCGCATCTTCCATCTGATCATCGCCGCCCTGTTCCATAGTCGAGTAGTTCTACCTTGGTTGATAAGCCTTTAGTACCGATGGTAGCGTTGAGGTTAATCCGCTGTTCACACGACACTGAATAGTGAGGTTTGTAGCATAAGCAGTTCCGAGTGAGAATCTACAAGCTATTTCGAGAAGCTTCAAATAGAGATCTCGCTGCGGTCAATCCAGGAAATTTAGGTTTTCACCGGATTGTTGGTTACTGCACTACGGGAACCATGAGGAAAGCAACATCGTTGCTTCGGGAGTGAACGAGTCCGTAAATCATGATGGAAATTCCAAAGTTCCGACAGAAAACCCTGAATCGTAGCCAACCGACTCGGAGATATGACAATTAACCATCATATCGAACTGAAATGGAAACATAGTAGTCCCTTTCCTTAGAATAGGCAACCTCATTTTCTGCTAAATCCGGTAAGAACCGAAGTCCAGAGAAAAACTTCAATGTTCTCGCAGACAACAGAATCCGGGGTCGTGAACGAATTCCATGCATCCGACAAAGATGTTTGAGTGGTATCGAGCCGAATCGAAATGGTTGTAATGAACACTCATTGAGAGGGAAAGAGTCGTGAGTAGAAGAAAGTTCTTACCGCAAATAGACTTCTTGAAGTAGAAGCTCTGCAGTAGAACAGGCGCGAAATCGCGCGAAGCTGGAGACGAAATGCCTGTGTGGCATTTCATCTACAATGAATCTGGTAGTATCTGCGTACTGAGGTTAGAGGACTTAGCCTCTGTCTCTATGCGTCCTTCCCAGACCTACGTCTAGGAGCCTTCTCCTGGCTTCGGCGCTTCCCCGTTCTCTACCATAGCCAGTTGGCGATGGCTGTATCGGGTTAGTTCGGTACCCTAGCAAAGTACCTTGCACTTGCGCAGGCGCATCGCGGCGCCAGCGCTACCAGTTGCCTCAGTATTCTATCTCATTTTGCACATGTCGAGAGGAGTGGAGCGAGGCCCTTCCTTGCCGAGGGGTCATATGCGAATCTTCTCTGTATCTTTCCAATTTTAAAGAGTGTCTCGAAGGATCCGCCATTATTTTTTCCTTTTGAGCATGTCGAGAGTAGTGGAGCTGCTCAAAAGGACATCCGTTAAAAATGGAACGATGCAGAGAAGATCAGCATCGCCCCTGCGCAAGGATGACACGCATTGATCGAGAAACGGTCCATATTTGTTATTAAAAAAAAAAAAAAAAAAAGTGGAGCGAGGCCCAACCACCCTCCTTTTTTTGACACCCTACACGTGGAATTTGGCCGTCTTTCTGGGTTTTCTTCCGGTAGATTCATTTGATGGCCATGTCTTCTCCACAGAGTTCACACTGCCACATGGTACGCCTGTAGGCTGCTTTCCTCGCCGAGCGGCGCATACCCTCACAAGGAGTCTGCCGGAAAGTCACCTGACTTTACAGCAGTCGGATGCCCTTTTTTTTTTTTTTTTTTTTTTTTTTTTTTTTTGAGAATTGCATGCCTTTTTGTGATCGTGATGCGTGGTGCTCGGCGGACACAGGCAGACCTCGTCTCCGGCTGTGTATAAAGGTGCATTAACGGGCACTCTGCATACAGTGCGTTACGATCTGCTTAGTGATCGTGGTGGTCTTTGGGGGTCACGGGCGGGAGCTGCGGGAAGTGGCGTCCGCTATCTCTTCTTCCACGGCATTTCAGCCGAGGAGAGGGACCGGGAGACTCCAGGCGACCAGCTCCGGGAGCGGCGAAGTGGGGGTGTGTTATTCTGCTGCCATTGCCGGAACTGCTCATCTGTTGTTGGAGGGCGCGCGGAGACGAGAGCAAGGTGAGGCGAAAACTGAAGACGAAGAAGACAAGGCACAGGGTTTTCAAGTCCGAGGTGTGTACGATGGCGGTGATGGTCATCCTGCTGTTGCTGGGGCTTCTCCAGCTTGCCGTTCCTGGACTTGCTCAAAGTCCGCCAGCTGGTGCGGTAAAGATCACCGCCTTCAAGTATAGTGGTACTGGCTGCCCGCCTGGAAGTGCCGAGGGCGTCATCTCCTTCGACGGACAGACGCTCACTATCATTTTCAGCAAGTACACGGTGTTCACCCCAGGAAGTCCAGCCGATCGGCGGAAAAACTGTCAAGTGACCGTCGCTCTGGAATATCCTTCTGGGTTCACGTTTACTCTGGCGACTGTGACATACGGAGGATTGTACGCCCAGCTCGAGCCAGGAGTCACGGGTACACTGGCAGCCGCGTACTACTTTTCAGGTATCCCAGAGACAGCCAGATCCAAGCGCGAACTGCTTCCTCCCCTGGAAGGCAACTTTGAGTTCACCGACAAGTTTGCCACCGTCGTCTATCAAGCGTGTGGCGTTCAGCCGGCTATAATCAATCTCTTTTTCGAGGCAAGTGTGAAGCCTCCACCCGGGAGCAAAGCTGTGGGCTTGATCACCGTCGGTTCTCAGGATCTGCGCCTCAAGCAGATCTACCGTTTTATCTGGAAGAAGTGCTAAGGGCATATTACTCGTACTAAAGCTTTTCTGGAGCATCTGGCGGCGAATGCAGGCAGATCCAGTTCAGAAAGTCGCAGTGTGAGCATGCCCTAAGCTGAATTAACCAGGCGTCAACAACAGGGCGGGCGGTCGTTCGACATCAGCGAGCTACTTGGAGAGAAGCAGGATGAGCGACCGGTAGGGGATCAACTTGGAGATTAGTGGGTTAATCTATCGGTCCCGCCGCTGCATTGTCACGGGCACTCCGTCACCTATAATGAAGTGGCGACATCACAGACACAGGCAGTAGAACGTGTGTCCAAGAGCTCTTTGCTGATGGAGCTCAATAGGAAGCCTAGCCAGTTGTGGAACTGGTCAGTCCACGACCAATATAATTATATATAGTACGTACTCAATGTCTGGCAGGCGAGCGAGTTTCCACGTCATTTAATTTGTAGTCCTGGAAAAGAACACGTTGGCATGTAGCACTTACGGTGGGGAAGACCCCAAGCCAAGTGCAAAAACTCTCGCGTACAGGTCAAGTAGACGGGCGTAGCAAACAGCAAGACAGGGTATTGAGCTCTCTCTCTCTCTGTCTGTCTCTCTGTCTCTCTGTCTCTCTCTCTCTCTCTCTCTCTCTCTCTCTGTCTCTGTCTCTCTCTCTCTCTCTCTCTCTCTCTCTCTCTCTCTCTCTCTCTCTCTCTCTCTCT